AATAACCCAGGTGCAGTTAGTGCTGATGGGCGCGTAAAATAAATAGCTCGACCTGCATCGAAATACCCTCACCACGGGATTTTCTCTCTTATTTAACTCCTCAACTTCCCTCGCGAAAGCTTCTGTGTAGCTAAAGAGAAAATTGCCGCGTTTATCTCCATCAACGCCCTTCATCTCGGCATTGACAGCGCCGGGAAGTTATAGAAAACTACATTTTCTATAGAAAACTATATTATCTTTTAAATCGCGTGCTTTTGTCCCTTTCTGTGTCTCTCCACGTGCGCCGGTGGCGTTTGTTTTTTGTGTGTTTACAACAAGGGGCTCAAATGAAGGCGGGATGCAAAACAGGGACTGAAATTCAGCTCAGCGTATTCATTAATTTAAATACAGAATCCTCCCCGCCTCTCGACCGACAAAACAACCGAGCAAACGCTGCGTATTTTCACATTTTAGGAGATGCGTGCATCGGTAAAATAGCTCTTCTTACTTCTGCCACGCCCGTAAAAAGTTATCAGCCACTGAGACAACCCAGATGGCTTTAAAGCTGTGGTTTATAACAGCCATTTGCCCATATATATATATATATATGTATGTCTGTGTGTGTTTCCCTTAAAACAGAAAAGTAATTTAAATTCGGAATAATTTTATACAAGAAAGAGGTAGCCGTGAAAAACGCGGAATTAAAACAAAAAAAAATTAAAATAAAAAAAAAGAAAAAGAAAGAAAAGTAAGAAAACCACACAGAAACTTGACGTCAAAGGGCTTTTAGCCCCAACCTCGGTTGCTTCTTAAAACAGGGACCTGTCGCAAGTGCGACGGGGACCCGAAAACCGTCCCCGCGTCCCTTTGGCAAAGGAAAAGAAGGAGGGAGAGGAGGAGGGGAAGGAGGGGAAGATGAAGCTGCAAACGCGCGGTGCGGAGGGGATTAGAGGGGAGGGAGGGATGCGAGGGAACCCACACCTGCCGCTCGTGATTTTGGGGCACCCGACGCACCCCTGTCCCGGCAGCAGATTTGTCTCCCCCAGAACACTTTTAGTTTAGTTGTTTAGGGGTTTTTTTTCCCAATTTTAACCGGGATGTAGCGGTGGCAGCGACCCGCCGTCTGCTCCATCCCCCGCCGCCCCTACCGACAGTCGCTTCCCCAGCTCCGGAGCGTTTCCAAAGGGGGGAAACCAAGGATCCCTCCCCATGTCCTGCCATCGCCCCGGGGTGGGTGGGGGGTGTCCCGGGGGGGTCTCCCGGGGGATGCGGTCACCCACTGTTCCCAGGGTTGCCCCGGGGGTCTCATTGGTGTCCCAGGGGTGTCCCGGGGGTCTCACAAGGGTGTCCCGGGGGTCTCACGAGGGTGTCCCGGGGGTGTGCCGGGGGTCTCCTGGAAGTCTCCCAGGGGTCTTATGGGTGTCCCGGGGGTCTCACAAAGGTGTCCCAGGGGTGTCCCGGGAGTCTCTAAGGGTGTCCCCGGGGTCTCACAGGTGTCCTGGGGGTGTCACTGGTGTCTCGGGGGTCTCACGGGTGTACCGGGGGTCTCACAAGGGTGTCCCAGGGGTGTCCAGGGAGTCTCACAATGGTGTCCCGGGTGTCCCGTGGGTCTCACAAGGGTGTCCCGGGGGTCCCACGGGTGTCCCAGGGGTGTCCCAAGGGTCTCCCAAGGGTGTCCCGGGGGTGTCCCGGGGGTCTCATGGGTGTCCCGGGGGTCTCCTGGAAGTCTCCCGAGGGTCTCACGGGTGTCCCGAGGGTGTCCCAGGGGTGTCCCAGGGGTGTCCCGGGGGTGTCCCGGGGGTCTCCCCTCTGTCCCTCCCCCGTTCCCCTCCTGCGGGGCGCTGGCGTTCCGCGCGCCCCCTCCAGCGGCCGCGCCGGGAACTGCACCGAGCGCGGCCCCCGCGGGGTCCCGGCCCCGACCCCGCTCCGGGCGCGGCTCCCCCCGACGGGGGCGGTCCCGGGGGGGGTCCCTCCATCGCCAGTCCATCCCACCCACCCTCCCTCCCACCCGCCGCAGCTGCTGCCGCTGCCCTTCAAAGCCCGCCCGGCCGCCGCCGCGGCTGCTGCTGCTGAGCTGGCGGGGACGGCGGAGGGGGAGGCGACCCGCGGGTGGCCGTGGGGAGGGGCGGGGAGATGCGGTAGGAGGGGGGTGTTGGGAGACTTGACGGAGGGAACCCCAAAACCCGCGCCAGGAGCGCGGCGGGGACGGGCGGTGGCTCCGCCGAGGCGGCGGGAAAGGGTCGGGATCGCCACGATCCCAGTCTGAGTTATTCCCCCATCCCCAGCCCGGGTTATCCCCCTGTTCCCAACCCGAGTGATCGCCCGTTCCCAGTCTGGGTTATGCCCCCGTTCCCAATTCGGGTGATCGCCCCGTTCCCAATCTGGGTGATCCCCAAGTTCCCAGTCTGGATTACGCGACATTCGCGACCAGCACCAAAAAAAAAAAAAAAAAAAAAAGAAATCAAGCCACCAAACCCAAAAAACCCCAACCCCGACCCAGCCCGAAAGCACGGCCACGCCTCCACGCGGCATCCTCGCCACCGGCTCCGCGGGGCCCAGACCGGCCGGCGGGGCAGCGCCGGCGGCCCCGATGATGCCCGTGCGGCTGTTCCCGGCTGTTCCCAGCTATTCCCGGCTATTCCCGGCCGTGGCGGAGGAGGGGTGGGTGGGATGTCCCCCAGCTGGGAGTCCGGTCCCCGGCACACCGGGTGCGTGTCCGAGGGGGCGGGAGGCGGCGGTGGCCGTTCCCGGGGGTCCCCCCCATCCGCGGGAAGGCAACGCCCCCGGGGCTGCCCGGTGAGGAGCGCGGCTGGCGGCGGACACGCGTCTGCGGCTCTGCGGGCACCTTGCGGGTGGAAGGGGGTGGTGGGTGAGCCATGGGCAAGAGGGACCCGCGGGCAGAGCCGGGGGTCGCGCCTGAGCATCCCTCACCCCCCCCCTCCGGGGTGGGCGCGGAGCCCCCCGCGCGTGTCCGCGGTTCCCCGGGGGTGGCGGTGCCTGTGTCCCGCACACCCCGCGCCGGTTCCCGGAGCCCCCGTCCCGCGGCCGCGCCCCGTGCGGGCGTGATTGGCCGGTGCCCTCCCCCCGTATGCAAAGCAGGCGGGGGGAATGACATTCCCCGCACTCCTCCCGCCCGCACCGACTCGCTCCCGGCCGCCTCCATCCATCCCGGCAGCGGCGGGAGCCGGGCGGGACGCGGCGCACGGGATACGGGACACGGGATACGGGACACGGGACCCCGCGCTCCCCCACGCGTGAAGAACCCGCGATCTCTCTCTCCGCCGTGGGAATGCGCTTTCTCCGAGCACTCCTGTCTAAACCCCGGCCGGCAACCTGTGGGCTGATCTTCTTCCCCCCGGCAACTTTTGGGCTGATCTTCTTCCCCCGGCAACTTTTGGGCTGATCTTCTT